GTGAGCCACCACGCCCGGCTGCTTGAAAATTCTTAAAAAGTTCTTATGCTAAATGTTTCTGGTGTTAAAAGCAGAAACTATTACTGTCCATTTAGGTACATATGCTTGGGTCTTTTTGCTTGCTGCTGACCAAATCAAAGGAGGCCATTTATTTGGTGAAAAGGAAAAAGGGTTAAAGCTACCTCTGAGGAGATGGGGCCTCATTTGCCTCAAATCCTCATCTTACCATGTCCAAATGTGCAAGAGAACAGAGGGAAGGGGGAATACAACAAGGCATTAAGCATCTCCATATTTGCTTTATCACTCCCAGCCATTTTCTACTCTCTCCCTTTCCTATGGCCCTGACCTCCTGGGACTAGCATCTGTGTAGTCTGTCACTTCATCTGGGCTGAGTAGAGGAAAGGGAGGCATTTACACCTAGGTCTGAGGAAGTTGGAGAAGCCACTTGTCTCTAAAGAAAAAAATTCTAAATTTTAAATTCCATTTTGTAGTGTAGGTTACAAATCTATTTTGATTGTTTACTATTATTTAGAATTTAAAAATTATGTTTATCTTGGAATAAATACATGTAATATAACATTTAAAAGCTTCTAAAGGATTTAAAATAAAGTTTTCTTCCTCTGTTTTTTTTATTTACCCAGTTTTATTTCTCATCTTCCTGAGATATTTTATACAAACATACCACTTTAGTTTTTTAATATAAGCTTAAATATTGGAAATATTTATTAAAATATTTGTTTTTAGCTGTTCTTACATATTAATGAAATTTAGCCCTTTTGTGATACAGGTTATAAATTATTTATTGAAGTGCCATGTGTAAGTAATTTATTTTAAAACAGTTGAGTCTTTTACATATTCTGGGTTTTGCCTCTTAATTAAAAAGTACTTTGTTCCTTGGAAATTAAAAAAAGAAAAAAAATCCTCACCTATTCTAGCACTCAGAAGGCTGAGGCAGGAAGGTTGGGAATTCAAGGATGCCTGTAGTACCTTAAATATTGAGACCATGTCTCAAAGAAAAAGAACTTCTTTCATATAGTTTCTTCTAGTTCTCAGTGTCTTTGTTTTTTAAAGTTTACATCTTTGATCCATTTGTACTCTACTTAATTTTCATTTAGAGTTTGAATTGAGAGTCCAGTTTTATTCTTTTTTAGATAATCCTTATATACTTACTAATTAGCCCATTTTTGGGCATTAAGAGTATGTGTCTCTTGTGTATTTTGGTTCATCTCTATGCCTTCCAGTCCATTTGCTGATCCATTTCTGTGTTCACCAGTGTGCACTATTGATTATTACAGTTGTATGATGTCTCAGTATTTGTAAGAGGGACTGCTACTTCTTACTCAGAATTACTAGTATTCTTTTTGAGAATTTTTCTGGCTTTGTTCTTAACATTCTTCCCAACCTAAAAACAAAGCTAAACAAGACAAAGCACACACACACACAAACACACACACACACACACTCCACGAGAAACACCCCTCCTCCACAAAAAAATAAAAATCCCGGAGACTGGCTGAAATGACATTATAAGAGCTCTGGAAAAGAGTAAAAAGGCAACCAAATAAATACTCAGCCAAGAAAAGATCATATTTAGAATGTTAGGACATTTTGTTATGTATTTATTTGTTGTTGGTGTACCCTGTTTCCAGTGTGGTATAGTCTGGGTCTATAGGATGCTCAGATCTCAATTCCTTCCCTAAGAACAAAGAGCTCAGAACAGATCTTGTTTACAGTTCTCTATCCTGCATGGGGGTTGCTGATAGTCTTTGCTTTGATATCTTGGAGCTCAGATGGGAAAAGGAAACATAAATTGGATCCATGGTTAAGGAAAACAGACAGAAAGCAGCACTGGGCACTGTTCATAAAAGCTGCATCTAAGTCAGATATGGTGGCACATGCCTGTAGCCCCAGCTACTCAGGAGGCTGAAGGAGAATCACAAGGTTGAGGTTGTCTGGGCAACATAGTTTTAAAATGGAGGTGTGTGATGCTGGGGGACAAACATTCTCAGTGACTAGGCTATACTTTCCTGTTTCTTTATATGCCTTATAATTTTGATGGGGGGTACTGGAGATTGAACTCAGGACTTTGCACTTGCCAGGCGTGGTGCCAACTGAGCTAAATCCCCTTCCCTGTCTTATAATTTTTTTTGTTGGAAACTGGACATGTTATATAATGTTACAGCTCTGGGTCCTGGATCCCCCTTCCTTTGGGACTTATTATTAGGTAATTTACTTAGTAACTCTTACAGTCAAAGCTCTTTCTCTCCCTGGTGTTCTACCTCTAATAGTGTTCCTGTTATGGTTTGTGTTTAGATGTCCCCCAAAGCCTCATGCAGATGAGATGGGACTTTTGTTTTTCACAGGTAGTTGAATCTGGAATGTGTGATGCTGGAGGGGTAAGGGCATGTGATAACTAAACCACTACATATGAGTGATTAGTTGGCACCGCTCTAATCCTGGTAGTCTGAATAAAATAAAAAGGGTAGAAAGGTGCTGTTAAACTCTCCTTACCTTTGCTGCCATGTGCCCACCATCTTGTTTCTCCCCTGCAATGCCTGTTTGTCATCCCTGTCTTGGAGCTAGCTGATTAAGGACTGAAACCTATATAAACTTAAGCCAAATAAACCCTTTCCCTTTTAACTTTGGGTGTCAGGTATTTTGTTTCAGCAGTGAGAGAAAAGTAACACAGTTCCTCAGGGAAGTGTGATTTTGGCTGTGTCCTCAATTACCCTGGGATATACCAGTAGCGCATTGGGCAAGGCTCTCTTCCTGTCTTTCATGGATCACATCCAGCTGTTAAACTCCTTTAGTTGCTAGCTAATTGTTCTCTTGGTTTCATCCAGTACTCCAGCTGTGTAGATTGTTCTGTAGAATAACTGAAGTGTGTCTTTGAAGGAATGATTTCTGAGGTCATTGTCTAATTTTTGTTCTGATTTTACAAGCGTTCTTACTCTCTGGTTCTTTCTTGCATATTCACTTCCAGTTTAGACATATCTTGAGTCTTCTTCCAAATGCTTTCTATCTCTATTCTTTAAAGCACCTGAAGAAGGCATGGAGTTACTCACTTTATGATTCAAATAAAGTTAGATGTTTTGGGGAAGATTATTCAGTACAGTATCTTTTTTGTTTATCTGCTTCTCAACCTTGGCAAAATCTCTGACCTGGGTGGTAAGAACAATGACAGGAGTTTTAGGTGACATTCCAAGTCTAGCATACGATTGCTCAGAAGGTGAACTATGGCTTGGGCTTCTCCTGATGTGGAACCCACCTCCTGAGGCCTGTCAAGAATGATCAGAGCTTTGATATTGTCACCATGCCATGCCCAAGGTAGGGCCTTTACTCCACATGTGGGTTTGAGCAGAAGGAAGGAGTGATTATTTCAGAGTTTTGCTCACCAAGGACTTAATCTCAGTAATAGGTATCTATCTGGGAAGAATAAGAGGCAGGGATGCCCTTCACTGAGGGAAAGAAGCCTCTTTTTTTGGGTGAGGATGTCAGAAGGAGCCCTGTGTTCTTGCCTGTAGCAGTCTGCAGGGGGGTCTGCTTCTTTGAGCTAGCAGGATTTAGGGAGGTTCAAATACAGTACCATCTTTCTTAATAGGTTTTCATAGATGTCTTTCATTAGCTGTTTCCAGAGGTTTTTAAAAGGTGGTTGTTTTACAGTTTTTACCATATCCTTTGGTGAACAGGCCAGTAAAGTTTCTCACACTGTCATTCCAGAAATCAGTTGTCTTCAGTTCACTGATCAGTTAACTGTTTTTAGAGCTCTTTCTCCTTTCCTTTCTTTTTTTAAAACTCGTTTTAATTAGTTTTTTTTTTTTTTTAGACAAGGTCTCACTTTGTAGTTCAGGCTGCCCTTGAACTCACTTTGTTAGCCCAAGCTGGCCTATGAACTCACAGTGATCCTTCTGCTTCAGCCTCCAGGACTGCTGGGATCACAGGTGTGTACTACCACTTGTGGCCTGGTAAAGTTTATAGTGATCTAATTTTGGTTTTAATTTTCATTTCCCTGATGTCTGATGATGCTGAACATCTTTTCCTGTGATTATTTGTCATCAGTGTCTTCACTGAAATGTCTATGTAATTTTACATTTTATAGTTGGATTATTTTTGTACTGTTCAACTGTTTTTTTTTTTTTTTTTTTTTTTGCGGTGTCAGGAGTTGAACTCAGGACCTTGTGTTTGTCAGGCAGGAGCAGTGCCATTGAGCCTGACTTAAGTTCCAAGATAGTTTTGATAGAATTGAAAACAACTAAAAAATGTTGACATGCAAAACATCAGGCATTTTTAATGTAAAACATTACCTATAAAATGTGCTGTATAAACTCAAAATCTCTTTAAGTGGAGGTTGAACAACCTATTTACTTTATAGAAAGTGTGGTGAGTTTTGGTTTTCTCACCTGTGAAATAGAAATAAAAAATACCCTATGGATGTTTAAATGAGATTGAATGTATAAAACCCAGCATGAGCTTACATATATTTTTTCTACAGTTAGGTAATTTTAATTGAAATAATGTGTTTATGGTTAAGGAAAATGCAGTCAGAACATGGAAATGAGCCTTCTCACTGTAGATCCAAGGTTCTTTTTTATGCACGTCTATGCCAAGAGCATAGTTTTGAATAATTTCTGGTACATGTGTACTTATATAATGTTGTATATTTTATAACTTACATACAAGGCCAGGGATTTGGCTCAGTGGTTCCACTGCCTGCCTTGCCAAGTGCAAGGTCCTGAGTTCAATCTCTGGTACCAAAACCAAAATAAAACAAAGCTAACATATAAGTGGGAGCATAGACATGTTGCCTTGTGTCTTGAGTTTGTCATTTAAAAATAGATTTTTAACAATCTTTCCTATCAGGAAATTTTAAAATATATTATTCTATTATCATTTTAATGGTTATTGAGTTTTCTGTTGGCTTTATGTATCATAATGTAATTGATGTTTTCCTCATATGTGTTTATTTTAAAAATATTTTTTCAAAACTTTCCTCTCTTTAGGATCAACTTAAAATCCTGAAAATCCATTCTCCCAAGAAGAAGGGACAGAAAGAAAGACCGCTTTGTAAGAAAGGCTTGGGTATCCCATGAATGAGCTAGCAGAAAACCGGTTGGGGTGCAGCAGGACTCCAGAGCCAGATATAAGGCTCAGAAAAGGGCACCAACTTGATGGTTCAAGAGGAGGTGATAATGACAACCACCAAGGAGATTTGAAGCCCATTTTAGAAACATCTGTTCATTCTTCTCATCAAAAAAAAGTAGGTAAAGTTGGAGTTGGATGGTGAACAAAGCAGAAATTATTTAAGGAGATGTGGCAGGAGAAGGATATCAAGAAGTGTGTATATGTATGTTGCGTGTTGCCAGTGCTGTAGAGGATGGAGGATGGGGTGTCAATTAAAAAAAAATTCAGGATTACTAAGTCTCTCATTAGATCAGGTGCTATCGATTTTGTGGTTACCCCCTTCCACTGACACTTAAAATCATAATCTGATTTATCTTGTTTTATGGTGAAAAAATTAGTTTCTGTAGTTAATTTAACTATATAACCTTTCTAATATGACTATGTTTTAATTATATCATCTTTGTGATTTTTTTTTTTTTTAATTCTCATTGTATACTGGAACTGTTTCTCCAGAAACTGTTTACCTCCAGAGCATATCTTGGGGATCGTAGAATTCTTAAGAACAGAAGGTAGATTTTAATATTTCCTTTCACTTCTCAGAGGAAACAGCAAATTTTAATCAGGCAGCTTTACCTAGCAGAAGTAGAAATATTTGTGAACTGCACCAGAAAGTTATTGTACAGACATTTTGTTGTTTCTTTTGGAGCGCTTGCATTAATTAGCATATATTCATGTTGTGGCACTAGTATACTATTTCTGGGATCAGGGGTTGTGCCACTGGTGGGTTGCAGTATTACTAATTCGTTAAAAAAATTGAACATGGATGGAGGATGTAGCTCACTGGTACACTTGTCTAGCATGTGCTAGGCCTTAGGTTCAGTCTCCATGACTGAAAAACAGCAAAAACAGCCAGGTGTGATGGTGCACATTTGTAATACCAGCTACTACTTGAAAGGCTGAGGCAGGAGGATTCCAAGTTCAAGGCCAGCCTGGTTAACATAGTGAGACCTTGTCTCAAAATAGTATGTAGGTGAGCACCCCCAGTATTGAAAAACAAAAAAAAGCCAAAAAGTTCAAAATTGAACAGCAAAGTAGAATGAAAATATTAAGGTGCATAATTATTGTACATTTTCCCCTGACAGCTGCCATTCTACTATTTGCTTCTATGACTGACTCTTAAATACTTCATATAGATAGAATAGTATTTCTCCTTCTGACACTGGCTTATAACTTCACTTAACATATAATGTGTGCAGGGTTCATTCATGTAGCATATGACAAAGATTCCTTTTCTTTTTTTAATGGTCACAAAGTTTTATTAAAGGTAGGAAAAGAAACAGGCTCTTAAGAGTGAGTTTGGGCCAAATAAAAGTAGGAAAAGAAGCATACTCTACTGGGGGAGAGTGGACCACCATGCAAGAGAGAACACAGTGGCAAAAACTAAAATGTGGAGAGTCGTCTTTGTATCATCTGCACCTCAGTCTGACGTCAGGTCTAGACCACCCTATTGAAAACTGCTCAAGTTCTTGGAGAAGTCCACATGTAGGTTTTTGGGAACTGGTAATTGAAAAGTTATATCTACTTCCCCAGCCAGCATTGCCATGCCTTAATTTTCTGTCTCATTTCCCCCTTTATGGGGTGCTAAGGAGGTGGAGGTCTCTGTCTTCTGTAGCCACCACCTATTGGGGTTTATGCTCTTCATCTACCTTGGGGTATTGTGGCTCACTGGCTGAAACAAAAAAAAAACAAAACACCTGTCAGAAGACAATGAGAAAAGAGTTAGTGACTATGGAGCTGTCTGTTACTATTTTAATGTTAGGGATGTAGAATCCAAATATGAGGAGCAGGTCAGATTTCCACACTACTTGTAGAGGACGAGATATGGCAGAGAGGAAGGTTAGATAAATTATTGAGAGCCTGAGAGCCATAGCTTTAACAAGATTACCCACATAATGGCTCTAATTCAAAACGGGAGCCTTAATATAGGTGCCCATTTAAGCTGTGGTGAATTAAGTCATCAGTGACTCTACTTATCTATACGTTTAGCAATACTGGAGTCTTGCTTTCTGAAGAGCCTCAGGTCTTCCAGAGGTTCTGAGGAATAGTTTTCTTCTTAGTCATCTTTAGGGTTTTGGAAGGGCAGGTCACTGACATCCTGCTTGCTTGCTAATTCCCAGGAGTGGCTAACTTCTGGGACTTTTCCATTGATCAAGGATACAGCCTAGTGGCAAACTCAGTGGAATCTGTGGAGCATGGTTCATGAGCTTCCCATGGCTCATCTTGGGGCCTGCTCTCCTGGCTGGCTAAGGAAAATATTACTCGATTTTGAGGTGCTAAAGTCTCCTGAATGTGGTTTCTAGTTTCTTTCTGTCTGGACCAAAGAATTGGTCAAGACAAGCACAGACAGTAGCAATGTTTTATTAAAGGTAGGAAGAAAAACAGGCTTTGCAGAGTGAATTTGCGCCAAATAAAAGTAGCAAAAGAAGCACACTCTACAGGGTGAGGACAGGCCAAGGTTATAAAACAAATCAGGTTATAAAAGTGTGAATATCCAAAGGTTTCCCCAGGTTGTTCTAAAATAGTTTGTGCAGTTGAACTGACTGTTCCCTGATATGTTAAGCCCCTATGTATTGGCGATGAGAAAACAGAGAAAGCCTAAGTAACCAACAGGCTGTTAGTAGGTAAAGCGACTGAGGTGTAGGTCTTAAAACTATTTTGTTATACTCAGTGTACTGCATTTCAGTGATTTACAATTCTAGACAGTTTTGACTCGCAAAAGACACTTGACAGTATCTGGAGACATTTTTGATTGTTACAACTGGGGGTGGGGGTGGTTGTGCTGTCCTTATATAATGATCAGAGGTCAGGAATGCTGCTAAATACCCTACCATATCCAGGCAGCTCCCACAAGAAAGAACCACCTACCTGGTAATGTAAACAGTGCTCAAGTTGAAAAATCTGATGTGTTCTACCTTGACACTATATTGTATATCTAGAACTGTTACACTTTTTAGTAATAGAAGTATTGTAGTAATGTAATTTTCAGGCCCAGGGTTATCATTTTGAAAACCTCCAGGAGATGCCACCAAATCATAATTTGTGAACAATATGGACTTCTCAGTTCTGTTATCTATACCATATATGGTGAAATAGATGGCCTTGTTTGCCTACTCTGGGCCAGAGTGCCTTTCTAAGACCTAGGAATACAGAGAAGAATCAGACAGCATAGATTCTTCCATGCGTGGCACAAATGCAGAAGTCAAGAAAACAGACAAAATAAGAGATGAGCTACACACCTGTAATCTCAGAACTCTGGAAGGCACAAGTCCAAGCCCCACCTTTGCAATCTAGTGACTTAGTGAGATGGCTGTCTCAAAATAAAAAAATGACTGGGAATATAACTCAGTGAGAGGGCCCTGGGTTCAACCCCCAGTACTGTACTCCCTACCCCCAAAAGCATAAATGTATAAGATAAATACCAAAAAGTATAAGTGGTGTGAGGAAAAGTGTCTTAAAGTAATGAGGTGGTTAGTGAGATTTTCTGCCTACAGTGGTAAAGGATGACTTTTCTAAGACCAGGAGGAAGACTGTTTCCAGGGATAGGAAGCAATCCTAGTGCAAAGAGAAGAATAAACTTTTTTCTTTTCCTTCTCTTCTTCCCTCTTTGTCTTGTATTATCCATCTCTCTTCCTTTCTTCTCCTTTTTTTTTTTGTTTGTTTTTTGAAAGACTGAGAATACCAGTGTAGTTAGAGCAGAAGGAATGGGATGAAAAGTGAAATGAGATGAGGTCAGTGGGCCAGTTAAAGAACAGGTCATGCAGCTGCATAAAAGGAAGTTAGATTCTGTCTTAATACATAGTTCACTGGAAGTTGGTAGGCTTTGAGATATTTAAACGTGAGGGAGAGATTTGTGTTTTTAAGATTGACCTGGTTGTGGAGGATGGATTGAAGACAGAATGGGAGAAGCGGGACCAGAAGTGTGTTAGAATACTGTGTATGAGAGATGATGTCACTTGAGGACAGGATGGCAGTAGCAGCAGAAATGGGCGAAAGTAGATTGAGTATGGGTATATATTGGAGGCCAAAGCAGTAGGACTTCCTGATTTATTAGATGTGAGAATAAGAAAAATAGTGGTATTAAAGACGGTTGCTGAATCTTATATCCTGAGCTAAAACTGACATTAGAAAGTCAAGAAGGCGGAGCAGTTTTAAAGGTGGAAGTCAATTTTGTTTTGGAAATGTGAAATTGAAGGTTGTCATTAAATATCTTACAAAGAGATATTGAATATTGCTAGAAGATTTGAATGTACTTTGATATATTTATATACTGTTTCATAATTATATTTAAGATGGACACATATACTTACACAAGGAAGTTTAGATACAGTAGGAATGCAGTGTACTGTATTCACAATGGGCCATAATTCATATGTTGCCATGCCAGGCAGCTTGAACCACCAGTGACACATACATGACTGTCCCATTGGGTGGCTGTTTATTACTTTTATTAGTAAAAAGAACAATAAAGTAATTAGATCCATTTGTACAACCAGTGGTACAAGCTACCTGATGGAACAGTCATGTAGGTACCGCTTGGTGGTTCAAGCCGAAGTAAATGTGTAAAGCTTGAAGGAATTTCAGGTGAGCAGATTTGACTATGATTAAAAATGCAGTGAAGTGATATGTTTGTTTGGTTTTTTGAGACAAGGTTTTACTATGTAGTTGAGACTGACCTGGAACTCACCGTGTAGCCCAGGATGGTCTCGAACTCATAGAGATCCTCCTGCCTCAGCCTCCTGAGTGTTGGGATTATAGGCGTGTGCCACCACGCCTGAAGGCAGTGAAGTGATATTATATCCCATTTATTTATGAAATAGTAAAACACATTATTAATAGTTCATAATTTGCCCACCCAGTCCCTTGTCAGATTGACATTAGGGATTTTCTGTTTATTGTTACACTGTGTATTTTAGTTTGCTGTCTTCATTACAAGAATGTGTCTTTTAAAGATGTTATTGTATTTATGGTTTTGTTTCACTAATAACCAAGTAAATATAATTTTTTATTCTTATGAATGAACTCATTTTGTTGCCCTGAAAACCTGCATTTAATTTTTCTTTCATTCTTAGTGCTAAC